GTAGCTCCGTGGCAAGAGCGCTTGCCTAGCATGTGTGAGGCACTGAGTTCAACCCTCAGCACCGCATACAAATAAAATTAGGGCATGCTGTCCATACACAATTACAAAAAAAAAAAAAAATTTTAATTGTACATATGCATGCTTGTATCTGGATGGCAAGTTTTCAGTGAGAACAAATCTCTTGCTGGCCTATGTTGAAATAAGTGGTTTCTAAGAGAAGGCCCTGGCCCAATGACCAAATTCAAAAGGGCAATCTCTGAAAGACAGAAAAGGCAGCAGAGACCAAAAGTGGGGCCTAAGCAGCTAATTTTGTTTCTGCTATTTTTCATTGTATTCCATTCATTTGATTGATTGTTCTAAGAAACCAAAACACTCAGCCTCTAAATGCCCGCTCCTGAACACAAGATGCAATCACATTCCACCGTCGATGATGAACAGCGGCAGAGTTAGACGATGGCAAGTTACCGAATCTCAAAGCAGAATCTCTGCATCCTACGTAGCTCAACACAGCCAACTGGTTTCCCCTGTAGAAATCCATCCAGAGAGTGCCCCCGGGGAGAGCCCTCTTATGTACAGAGGAGACTTTAACAGCCAAGTAATTAAACACTGAAGTAAGGGCTTATAATTAAAATGCTGACAAACCTAAGCCCAGGCGGCACAAGGAGGGGTGCTGTAATATTTTTACAATTCCTTTTTATACATAATGTATGATCCTTCTGCTCAAGTTTCCTCTATGTTCTTTGCCTGTGAAATCATTTACATTAATAAATAATTTATCACCATAACTCCTAAAGTAATTATGGGTTTCCAGCCAATTTTTTTTAGCATATGAATTGTTTTGTTCTCTGTCCATTGACTTGTATTTACAAGACTTTTCCTAGTGGCCTTTTTGAAATAATTGGCATTGCCTTCGCTTTCTCACATTTTACGTGATTTCCAGGTCTTCTCCTCGCCTGAGTGGCGAGGAAAATGGAATGTGTGGTGTCCATTGTCCCTGCAACACAGAACTCGTTTAATGGCTGCAATTAGCTGAGGGTGGTGAATGGAGGCTGCTCTCACCCCACTTGCCCTGTTTTACCGAATAAGATTAAACCGGTACACGTGTGACCCCCAGGCCAGCATAAAGCAGCAGCCCCCACTGCAAATGGCAGAGGATCTAGAGGGAGCAGCAACTGAAGCTCCGTGTGCAATCTCTGCCTCACCCAACCTAGTGGATTCCCTTCTCCGCACCCAGCAGGAGTCAATGTCAGAACAGGAGGGTGGCTTCCAGACTGGCCAGCTGATAAGAGGGTGGGCTGCACCCACAGAGCTGCCTCCTGGCCCAGGTTTCCTGTGTCAGGAGCACAGTCCATGGTCATGTAGGGCTCTTCCCCAGAGAAGCTATCTGCAAAGGAAATTTCAATTCAGCACAGAAGTTGGGCTGGGGATGACCTGAGGGGCGAGAAAGGAAACCAGAAAAACTTGGCCTTTGCTAGAAGGGACCTACAGTGATGGGGCAAGCCTGGCGCCCCAAAGGCCTCAGCCAGACACAGAGCAGGAAGGCAGGGCTGGGCTCCACTCTGCCCGGCTTCTCCCATTGGCACCTCACCCTGGCTTTGTTTCTCCCTTATTTTGGAAAAGCACAAAAACACTTCTCTGTACTAAGCCCCAAACTAGACTGGGGGACAAGGGTGGGGAGAGGCCTGGTATCCAGCTCGAAATCACAAAGCATGAAGTACTTGGGAGGAGGAGGGGAAAAAAAAAAAAAAAACCTTGTGGCTTGGAACACTTGATTATGTTAGTAACGCACTTCATCTGGGTGGGAGCAGAGGAGGCCCAGCCACTCGGGAGGGGGCCTTCTAAGAAGCAGCAACAGTCATACTGCCAATGTAGTTGCTGGCATTTCCTTCAGAGCATTTATGGAACCCAGACTCATACTGGTTTTCAGCTAGGACCCTTACATGGGGTGAGGGGAAACCCCCAAGTCACAGGGCCAACAGTCCCCAGTCCTCATGGGAGAATTCCACTGATCAAGGCCCGCACTAGAGCCCTTTATCTCTGGGAGACTGGCTGGGGGTGGGTGATTATAATAATTTGGCACTTTATCTTTGCTCAGCATTGTCCAGCCCTGGAAGGGCCCAAAACCAGCTTAAAAAGTCTAGCCAGTCCCTTAGGGTGTTCTCTTCCCCGCCATTGAAAAGCAGCCCCACCCAAGATGAAATCTCACAACCGGGTGCACTCCTAGTCCTCACAGCAGGGTAGGGCCGCAACACCTGGACCCGCAGGTTAATGGGATGAAATAACCTGAGCTTTCACCAGCACAGGGGCCTGGGGGGCTCCTGACTGCTGACACCCACACCCAGCAGGTGCCAGAAAGTTCTGGAAGCAGAAGGAACCTAGTGGCACCTCTAGGGTGCTGCTGTCTCTTTGAATCCCTATGATTGGCCGAGGGGATGCCATGGGATAGGAAGACAGGGAGACATGCCTGTGGCTCTCAGGACTCCTTGGTCTTGCAAGCTGGGCCTGTGCTCTGGGGAATTCACTATTGCTCTTTCTCCTCCAGCAGGACAGCAATCTCGCTGCAGGTAGGTACAGACCCTAGTTTGCTCTACCCAGCACTAAGTGCCTGACATACGATAGGTACTCAATTATACCTACTAGAATAAACCACTGCAACCAACCATGGTAAGTGCAAAGCCTTGGTAATGCGCCATCACACAGGGCAGGGTCCCAAACACAGGAGGAGGCTGAGTCAGAGAAGGATGGTGCACTAGAGAGAGAGAGAGACGCAGAGCAGGATGCAGGCTTGCCCGCGACCCACCACCTGCACAGCCACCCCTGGTGCTCCCTGGACCGACAGGCAGTGCCTCAGCAACTGCCCTACAGAGCAGAGGCCCCAACACAGGAACAGAGCTCCTAAAGGGCTACTCTTCTAACAAGAATAGGGGGACATAGCCTGATACCTCCTGCAAGCCCTGGCCTCCCCAGGACAAAGCAGGCTGCAGGCAATCCAAGCGTCTGCCCACATGACTCCTTCCCCAGGCCTCTCTCCCTCAGTCTCTGGGCCTGAGAATCCACCCCTACAAGGGCAGCTCCCTCACCCCCTCTCCAGTGGAAACCACCATAGTCCCTCTGTTTAGACTTGGAGGCCTCTTCTCTGGAAGAGGGATCCTCAACTTAGGTCTCAGTCCCCTCTTGAACTACTACTCATGAAATGCTCCTACTATACTAATCTCTTTGCAAAACAATGTCACAGAGTCCTCACGACAAGCCTACAACATGGGTGCTATTGTGATTGCCATTTTGCAGACAAGGAAACTGAGGTTCAGAGAAGTTAAGAAGTTCAATGTGACAACTCAAACCTAACACTGCCTCCACCCCAGGAGAGTTCACCTTACTATGGTTCACACAGTTTAAAGCCCAGGGAAGCCTAAAGCACAAACAGCCTTGAATCAAGGCCACCATCCCAACTGTCCAGGTTAATAGTCTGGCTGTTTTAAGCTGAAGTCACAGGTTGGGAGTTGGGCGTGCTCAAGGATTCCTTCCCTCTCTCTTGGGCACACGGAAGGCGGCAACTCAGTCATGACACTGTCCCAGGAAAAGGAGAGACAGCAGGCTTGCAGGCCACATGCTGGGACACAGAGGGTTTGAAAACCGTTAACCACTAAGGAGGTATTCAATCATGTGGGGACAGGCCTCAAAAGTGTGTCACATAGCACTCCAAGGCAGGTGATCTCTGGTTCCATTTCCTCTGAGTGGTAGCATCAAAGAGGACCACCCAGCTCTCCCAGAGCTGTGGCATGTGACTTAGAAGGAAACGTCTCCTTCTCCCCCACCTGATTCAAGTCTGCCTCCAAGGGACCTCAGTTTCCTCCTACGTGAATAAGCACATCTTTGGAGTGGCGTACAAGAAGCTTGGTACAGCACCCCGCACAGTGCTCACCACAACAGACCCAGTGCTCCTCCACTCTCATGTCTCATCTACAGGAAATGCCTCAAAAGAAGGAAAAGGAAACACTGGGCACACAGGAAAGGGGCTGGGAAAGGAAGGCGAGGATGACTTGACCTGCTCCTCCCAAGACACCCAACCCTCAGCCTACAGTAAATAGTAAATGCCCACTGTCAAAGTCCAGTCTCTGAGCTGATGTGTCATCTGAAAGGACACCCCAGAGGGGGACAGGAGTGTCATGGAGAGAGAGCAAAAGTAAATACTCTGCCCAATCATCTGAAGCATCAAGAAATCCACATAACCGATACGGTCACCTGTTTGGTCCCTATCAGAAATAGCAAGTCACATGTGTATGGCAAGAGAGGACTGAGGTACCCCCTGTAGAAGGCAGACCGACAGCCCAAATCAAGAGCCGGAAAGAGGTCCCTTCCCTCTGGCCTCTCTGTTCCCCTCCTGGGAACTAGCTCCAAGGAATAATGTGAAAGACAAGACTCAGACACTTAGTCACTGTAATGACAACAGAAAATTCAAAAGCACCTTTACCCAGAAGCCACAGAAATTTTATTGTTAAGGACATTTTGATACATCCACACAATGCTGTACTGCAGACCATCGAAATACATGAAATGAATAGTTTTCATGCTGCAGAACTACCAAGTGGAAAAACAAATACAGTTTTATATAATTATATGTTCATCATAGACTCGTCTACGTTAAAAAAATGCAAAAAACAAGCATAAAAGTACCGACAGTTATCACTGGGAAATGGAGCTATACGAGATTTTTACTTTGTATGTTAGCTGTATCTCCTGAATGAAAAAAATCACCAAGAATTATAATAATCAGACAGAAACTCTCAATGTTAAGACTTGGACACGGTTTGTAAACCACAGCCCAGTTTCTGTCCCCTCAGTCACCCCAACAGCCCCCAGACCTTCCAGCACCACTGGGGATGGAAACACACTGAGGGTCCCCAGGGCTCTTCTGGGACTCATGTGCAGAAAGTGCTTTCAGCATCTCACCTGGCTGTGACAACCAGAGGAGGATGGCCCCTGGCCGTGCGGTTACTCACCCATAATTCCACAAGAGAAAAGGGTAGGTCCTTGACTCATCTTCTTTGGCGTGTGCTGAAAACAACCAGAAAAGCTATTCACTCTTTAAGTCATAAGAAGCGCGTTCACACATGACTCTGCACTGATCTCTTGCTAAAGTCACAATTAAAGGGAAAACTGCCTTTTGCCAGCGTCAGACTGGGGAAAGGAGAAAAGCGTTCCAAGAGACAACATTTGCACGGATCTGGACCTAGACTGTCCCACATCTCCAGCCAGGGATGGATCCATCTGACATGAGGGGATCTCCCCACATAAGTGATAAGGGGTTGGGGGTACAATGGTAAACAGTAGGACAAACTTCAGTACAGGGCTGGAAGAGATTGGGAGAGGCAGGGCCTCTCAGCATGGAAGAGCTGAGGGCCCTCTCCCACTGCCAGAACCCCCTTGGAGTCTTCCTGCCATGCTCAAAACCACTGGCCTTTGCTCCACAGGCCGCTCTGCAGCTACAGCACTACAGGCCCCCGTCATTCTCATTGGACTGGACCAGAAACTCACTGGTTCCATTTGGTCGCAACCTGAGAGCTATGGCTTTGAACTCCTGGCTGCTACATTTTCACAATGGCTTCCCCTTCTACTGTGAGCATCCTCCATCTTCCCTCACAGCCCACAGCTAGCTTCCACTGAACACTGATGGCTACTGTGGAGAACCGGCCAAGGAGGCCTGGAAGAGCCCATACCCCTGCACTCGCTCCATGACTACACGACAATCTGAGCATGAAATATTCTGGGAGCTCCTTGTGCTGACATTCAGGTGTTCCTGTTCTAGCTGCTGGTGAGGAAGAGTCCACCCAATCGGCACCTGAAGGAAGTCTGCCTCAAGTATTCCAAAGACTAGGGCTGGGGCTGGGGCTCAGTGGCAGAGCACTTGCCTAGCATGTGTGGTGCACTGGGTTTGATCCTCAGTACCACATAAAAATAAACAAATAAAATAAAGGCATTCTGTCCATCTACAGCTACAAAAAAATTTTTTTAAAAAGTATTCCAGGGCTGGGGATGTGGCTCAAGCGGTAGTGCGCTCGTCTGGCATGAGTGCGGCCCGGGTTCGAGCCTCAGCACCACATACAAACAAAGATGTTGTGTCTGCTGAAAACTAAAAAATAAATATTAAAAAAAATAAGTATTCCAAAAGACTAACTCCCTCTCTCCCTCATTAATTTGCCCAATAGACAGGAAGTGGCAATCATCTACGTGCAGGCTGTGCTAGGTGCTGACCTTGCCATGGTGTAAGCAGCTAATGGCCCCAGACAAATCACCTCCAACTCTGAGGGAAGCCCCCAAAACTTCCTCTCACACCCCCCATGACAAGAACAGGCAAGGCTTCTAGGCTGAGAAGTGGGCAGGAGCCCAGGGCCCAATCCTTGAAGTCCTGGAAGGAGGGTGAGGCTGACTAGGAACACCTGACTCACCCAGATAAGAGAGTGCTTGTCATGAGCTCCCTCACCCATCCCCATCTGCTCCATCCAGGGATCTCTGCATTTAGACACCACTGCATTTATCCCGTAGTTTTTCAGTGTCCACCATGACCAGCTTGGGGACACAGAGGTGAAGAAGAGCTCTGCCTCAGGAAGGACACAGTCATGTACACAAGGCTTTACATTACACAGAGATGGGGGGCCTATGCCAGTGTGCTGGGTCGGGGTGCAGTCAGGGCTGGCTTCCTAGAGAAACACCTGAGCTGGCGTTGATCAACCAGAAGGAACTTGTGGAGGGCAGCTCTTCCTTCCTTGGTTGACAACAATCCTTACATCATCAGGCTAGCTCACCTTCTTCGATCCCAAGTGATGTGACCTCCTATTCTATAGCCATGTGTGGAAATATCTGGAAAGCATGAAAGAGAGCTCCAGCTGCCTCCCCCTCAGTTGACACTTAACACTACAGGATGCACAGCTGAAAGCCACACCAAAGTAACCCAATGAAGAGCGGGTGACAAACATAAAAGAGTCCCCCACTGGGCTATGCCACCCTCACAGATGGGACCTAGGCAGGCACCTTGCTCTCAGGGAAAGGGTTCAGAGAGAGAAATGGGGCTCCTCCCCTGCCAGGTGCCAGGCCTGCCAAGGGAGACAAGTTCCCAGTATTAGGGAAGCACCCAGGACAAGGACAACAGCCACTGAGGAATCACAATCCCCACCTCCTGTGCTGGACAGGTAGCAGAGCAACCCAGCAGGGAGCCCGCAGAAGTCCACTGCAGGACAGGGACTGTAGCAAGCAGAAGGGAGCACGAAGGCTGTCACAGCCTGTGTGCTTCACTGGCGAGCATGAGCTGCAAAAGACGACTTGGGGCAGACAGACAAAAGCAGGAAGCAGCAGAGCAGAGCCCCGCCTTCTTGGTGGGACAACATGGCCTTTCGTTCTAATAAGCTGGTGTGATCTAGACAGGGGCAGCCCAGGATACTCCTGACCCACACCCATCCAGGGAACGTGCACACATGAGTGGGTACTACCACGCTGCAAGCAGGCAGGAGGGCTATCGGCTGGTCATGGCCTGCGCCAGGAAGCCCTGGCCAGCACACAGGGCTCCAGGATCCCACTCACTCAACAGGGACCTGTCAGCATTTGCTACAGATCCCCAGAGCAGCTACCTGTTCCCCAGGCCAGACGAGTGCTCTTACCACTCCAAACACCCCATCCATGCCCCCTGGCACCCAGCATGGTGCTCTTGGCCCCTATTTTCCACCTTCCACACAGAACCCTAAGTCATCTTTTTAAAGCAGAGATCAGATCAAGTCATTCCTTTCTCTCCAACAACTTCCCACAGCAACCAGCATAAAATCCAGGCTACCCCATCTCCCACAGCCCCCAGGCCCATGTGAGCCAAGCCCATGCCCCCTCACTCCCTCTGCACTCCTCCTCACTCCTGTTGCCAGCTACCGCTACCCCAGGGCCTTTGCACCAGGATCTTATCTTTACATGCTCTGTGTCCATATTGTCATGTGGCCTCCTCAGAGGCCCTCCCTGAGCGTCCTGGCTAGATCAGTACCCTCCCATCTCAGGCTCCCCCCCACAGATCTAACGCTGCCAGCAAGACCAGCGTGCTTGTCCCACGTGCATTCTCTGCTTTAGAAGTGGAGGCCCCTTGGGGGAAGGGGCTGCCTTTTTTACCTTATCCCAACACAGCCGGCACTGGGGCTGGGCCTGCCTGCTTGTGCCAGCCTGTACTGCTTCCACTACCCACTCACCCTGTGGACAACAGGCCAACAGACATGGAGTTTTTGTAGGGCAGAACCTACTGCCTCTCCAAATCACTAGGCTCCTGAGAAGCTAAGCTCGGTGGGGAAGGAGAGAAAGCACAGCATGGAGTGGCAGGGCCACCAACCAGGCCTGCCCAAGTTCCCCACACCAGCCTCCAACTCCCTACCCAAAGGTGCCAGGGAACCCGGGATGTATGGCACTGAGACATCACAGCCTAGAAGAATGAATCTCCACTTCTCCTCAGCCTGCCATGAATCCCTGCCATGTCCTCCACACTGCCCTGACCCTCCACTCTTCTCCACCAGCCAGCCATCTGTCATCGCCCCAGGGAGCACGTCTCGGTGTAAGCTGGCTGGAGATGGCCTCTGTGGCTTATGAACGAGGGACCCTACCAGTTTTGTGCTAGACCTCCAGGTGGGATGGGACCCTGTCTTGCTTTCTCAGCCCTCTCTGTGAGGCAAAGCCAACGCAGTCAGGCCAAAACACCCCACCTCTGCAGGTGTGGGGCCCCGGCAGATCCTGACCACTGGTGGGTGTCCCTGGAAGTCCCTGCAGGTTGACCAGAACCTCTCTAATCCCATCTACCCAGAATGTGATAACATGAAGGGCGCCATTCCTACAGTCAGCCAGTCTCACCTTCAACTCCTCGGATCCCACAGGGCAGGAGGGAGGAAAGCAGATCACTGTGCACTGAGGCCCACCAGCCCCAAGGTAATGGTGTCCCTGGAAGCTTCACAGACTCCCGTATCTATACAGAAGTGCTCCCAAGCTCTGGCTGAGGTATGCAGTGAAGGCAAGCAAAGAGGATGTGTCCCCTTCTGTACCCCTTCCTCTACCACGTCTCTGTTCCCCAACCCACCCAGGAAAGGGCCTGTCCCTGTGATCCTCCTTACACAGAAGACAAGAGCTTTGGAATCAGAACCTCTCAGGAAAGGCAAAAGCTAGAAATGAAATCAAGGCTTGTGAGCCATCTGTCCAACTAAAGAAAGAGACCCTGCCTTAAAAAAGACACAATTAAGACTCCAAACGAGGAACTGGCCTATGCAGAAAACTCTAGGCCTTATCCATGGTTCTTTGCAACTTTTTTTCTGAAGATTATGGACCATAGCAATTGAATCACTTTTTCCTTGTCCTGACATAGTATACAGGGAGCAGCTCACACCCATGCATGGGGGTGGGGGTGGGGAGCGGGGTGAATAGAAGAGCACCCATGCCTCCAAAACAGAATACACGAGACTATGAAAGACTAGAAAGCAGAGATGCAGGCCCAAGAAGACAGAAAGAAACTGAGAGGGGAACAGCATCCTGTGACTCTCAAAGATGCTGATGGTCATCTGGTACCCCTGACTCCAAGGCTCTGGGGATACCTAGGCTAGAGGGCCCTAGGGTACCTCTGCTAGTCCAGGGTGAAAGGCACCAGGCTTTCTCAGACTTGCTGTGTACTTCTGAGTCCAAACTTCAGTCAGAGCAAGTACCTAGCCATGGCATCCTAACTTGACACGTGCAGAAGGAAGCACCTGATAAGCCCCTCCCAAAAATTGGAGTGGATCATTAGGGGAGAGTCAAGTAGCCCCGAACCGCACACTGCCCTGTCCAGGAGCGGCCACTTGCCAGCTCCCTCTAGTCTCCAGACTTTACAGAGAGCTGGGAGACTTGCTGGGGAGAGAAGGCCAGGACTTGCCAAGGGAGGTGGTCATTCTGGAAACGAGAGAACAAGCCCTTGTCCTACGCGTGGGTGTGCGGGAAGGAGTTGGGGGAGCACAGCGCTGCAGGGTCAAATGTCTGGGCTCCCTTCCAGTGGCAGCAGCTAATCTTAGACTAGGAGAAGAAAGAGCACGAATGACCGACAAGAGCAACCAGGCAGAGCAGGGAAGGAAAACCGACAGCCATGGCTGCTGACGGTCCAAGCTAAGCCAGTGTGGGCACAGCCGCGCCCTTGGGCAGTCTCTCCCAGGCACATGGCCCCTGTGCCTGCAAAGGGAAAATGCTCAATGCTTCTCAGTGCTTTTTCTTGTTTTCCTACACTGTTCTCTAGAGTAGGGATAGTCACGTTGTCACCAACATTTCGTTTTTTGAAAAGGAGAATGAAAGAGCCATTATGAGGGCCATAGGAGGGCAGGGATGAGGCTGTCCTCTGGCTCCTCACCAGGTCCCAGGGTGGCACCTGCAGGCTCTCCTCGGGCACGCCATGACACCCAGGGCTCGTAGACCCTTGTGACTTTCCCCTGAGGCCTCAGACTTTCTGTGCTCCCTGCTGACCAGCTCAGGGTCAGGGTGGGGCAACACCTCAGGTGCCTGCTCCTGAATTCAAGTGGCCTGTGCCTGCACATTTCCCAGCCTCCTCAGAATCATGTTTTCTTTTTAATTTTATTTAATTGATTTATTTGGGTGGTACCAGGCATCGATCTCTCTCTCTCTCTTTTTTTTTTCCAGTACTGGGTACTGAACTCAGGGCTTCCTACATGCCAAGCAATGCTTCATCACTGAGCTCCACCTCCAGCCCTTTTTACTTTTTACTTTGAGACAGGGTCTTGCTAAGTTGCTAAGGCTGGCCTTGAACTTAAGATCCTCCTGCCTTGGGCCTCCCTAGTAATTGAAATTATAGGCACTTGTCATTGCGTCTGGCTTCTTTTTTAATCTTAAACCTCCACTTCTGCTACCACCTTGGTCTAATTAGAAAACAAAAGAATTATTTCCCATCTTTCCTGTTGTTATTTTGAAGCTATGACAGGGATGATGTACTTGTCTAGGAAGCTGAAGCAAACCCCTTGGCCTGCCTCTTAGCTTTGTGGGCTGCTCACAGCAAATAATGGCCCTGGATGACCTCACATTCTGTCTCCTGAAGTCATTACTAGAAAGATTACTTGGGGCCTTTCTTTAGTAACCTCCCCTGAGGCAACCACAGCCTCCAGAGCCAGGCTGGGCACATGAGGAAGGTGCTGAGTGGAGCTAAGGGACTTGAGGTCTGTCCTGGTGCCCTGCTCACCAACTGATGCTCTGGACCCTGCCCTGAGCTCTCTGAGCCAGTTTCCTGCCTGTGTAAGGGACAGAGATAGATGCACCTCTGCCCCTCTGCAGAGAGGCATGCAGCTAAGACCTCTGAGCACCTCCCCAGGTGCTCCCCATGCCTTCCCGTGGGTGCACAGTGGGCTTCCATTTGCCCCACCAGCAGCACTGGGCCAGGCCTGGAACGTGACAACAGTCAACCTGCAGGGCATCAACCAGCCCACGGATGCAAAGGGCCCTCTCCAAAAGGGCCGTTCCCACACTGACCTGCCATCTGGAGTCAAGGGGAGGAGGAGGAAAAGGCGGGGAGACAGATGGGCCCACAGCACTTGCCATGTGGTTCTGGGCCCAGATCAGTCAATAATACGTAGCAGCAGAAAGAAGGACATCCATCAGGAAGGGGAGCGGGTCGGGAAGAAAACAAAGACCCTACTCTGGAAGATGTGTTCGAGGCTGGCTCGCTCCCGAGAACCTGCCTGCTTCCCCAACCTTTTTTCTTTCTGTTCTGAAAAGATGAGTTTTCCTTCCCAGGCTGGGGCTGAGAGGCCAAGCTCTCCCTGGCAGTGGCTCTGGCCACATCCCTGGAAGGGCAGCTCAACTGACCTCAGCCCATGTGCCTGGGAATCAGCTCTGGCCAGTACCAGTTACCCCCCATGAAGGGACTGCACACAGGGGCAGCCTCAGAGACTGACAGCGCAGCTGAACCCAGGAAGGGCACCTCCCTCAGGACAGCTCCAGGGCCCCTTGCCCTGAGCTACTCCTTCCTGTCCATAGCTACTCCTCCCATCAGAGCTACTCTAGAAGCCTGTTCAGACTCCTACCAAGAAGAATGTCACCACCAACAAAAATGAAGCCACTCAGCTTTGAGTGAGCTACAGCCAAAGGACCACAACCCCCACCTGCTCAGAAGCCACGGGCGGCACTCATCACTCGACAGTCACTGTGTACCTCCTGGCACCAGGCCTGGCTCTAGTCGCTGGGACTCAGCAACAAGCAAAAGAGACACATGTCCTGCTTTACAAAACTCCCATTCCAGTTTGGGGAGTTGCTCAGACAACAAGACCAACAGTAAACTGCTAAAAAGTGCTAAGTGCCGCAGAGGGAAAACAGACAGGAAAGGGATGCCAGAAAGTACCTGTGGAAAGGGCGAGGAAGCAGGGAGTAAGGACAGGATTAAATTTTAAGCTGAGTATCCAGAGAAGGGAGGGAGGGAGTAGGGGGAGAGAAGGAGAGAGTCCTGCTAAGTGGGGAGAGTTCCAGGCTGTGAAAGAAGTGCAAAGGTCCCAGGGCAGGTATACTTGTCCTATCTGAAACAGAAGGCCAGTGTGGCTTGGGTGGAGTGAGTGGGAAGGGCAGCAGGGACGAGGTCAGAGTAGTCATGGAGAACAAGACTGCAAAGGCCTTTGGCATTTGCTCAGCATGAGATAGAAAGACAGTGGAAGGTTCTGAACAGAGACTGGCATTTTCTCTGGCAGCTGGGTAGAGAACAGGTGAAAAGAGCCAAAAGTAGGAGCCCAATTACCACAATAATCCAAATGAGAAAGGCTGGCACGTGGGGTAAGCGTGATAGCATTGGGGCTGGTAAACAGCGATCAAACTGCAGGTTGGACCACCATGAGGCTCAACCTGCCACAATGGCCAAGGATGCGTCTAGCAAACGCTACAGGTGCAGGTCTCTGCCCTACTCCAGCCACACCAGAGACCCAAGGAAGAACCACAAAAGTTGGCAGCTACATGAGAGGCCTGGCACGGGGCAAGAAGGGCTGGCAGCATGGAGGGGTGAGATAGTTACTGTCCTGCTCTGGGTCTGTAAAATGAGCAGGTAGGACCCTACAGTTTATAAGCCCTTTCTGCTCACCCTTGAAGACTGTGTCAAGCATCCTTTTCTGCAGGGTTTCCCTGGCGTGCTACAGTCAAGCCAGCCCTCCTCCACACTTTGTGGGGTTTCAGTTATGAGGTACCATTAATGGGGTCCTGAAGGGTCCCTGTATTAATGTCTGTCCAAGCTACCTTACCCCTGAGGCAGGTAGCTGCTCAAGGACGAGAAGGGCACAACCCTCCTCTGGGTTATGCTGGTTCCTGAATTCCTCCAGCCCGTGTCCGTCACGCCACAGGTGCCATGAAGGCTGTGGAATGCATGCAGGTCTCAGTGGCGCTCCAGAGCCAGGGCTCAGTACCTCGGCCTATCTGCTCTGAGTACAGTCTTCCTTGACGGTGCTCAGTGTTGGGGCTCAGGAGGGGTACTAGGTGACATGACTCTGGGTCGGCCAGACCCTTGCTGACCATGAAAGCTGCAGCGAGTTCTGAGGACCTCGAAGGTGCTCATGGCTGAGCATGACTTCCCCCTCTGCAGGGGAGTAGCCCCCACTTAGGAACTGGGCTTGGAGTGGGGCTGGCTCCAGGATTTGGCTCACAGCCTAAGGTCAAATAACCTGCTGCCTCTCCGCCCAACCCACCACCATCTAGGAGGGTAACCAGAGGGTGGCTGTCACCACGCCTGCCACCTTGACTGCTTTCTTTCTTCTTCATCTCCCATTCTTGACATCCCTGCCTCACCCTTTGGAGGTACAGTCTCTTCTTGGCCCCACTCAGACACCACCCTCCTTCTGGAAGTCGCCCCACCTTGCCAGTGGAGACAGAAGGAAAGCTGGACCCAGGGTGGCCAAACCCTGTCTGGCACCTTACCAGGTGACTGCCCCCTCCTCTCTCACAAGAGGAGCTGTCATCCGAGCCAGGCCACTTCCTCCTTGGAAGCAGGCTGCCACTCTCTGGGCTCTTGTGCCCTATGGCCCCAGGCTGGAACTTCTCACGGAACTCTACTCTCAGGTACTCTGAACCCAGTTAGCCACGCCTGGATGTCCCCCCCCACCAGCCCACCTGCACCTCAGGCCTCAAAGAAGGTCATCAAAGTAACAATGCTCACTAGATCCTCACCAGTTCAGGGCTGAAGGTCCTGCATGCTATGGAGTCAGTTCCCTGGTTGGCAAGGCTTCTCCTCAGGATCATCACCATGGTAAGGACCTCAGGCACTGGGCTGCATCCCAGAGTAGGCACAAGCCATCTTCAGGTGGGCAGACCTGGGCAGCCTTGATGCCTGGGCAACCCCAGGGGAAGGACATCAGCAGAAAGAGTTCCCCATCAGCCTCTCACCCTTGGAATGGGGCTGAGTACAGCCAACTCCCTGGAAAGACAAAAGACAGGAAAAGAGGTTCAAGACCAGAAAGACTAGGGCCCTTAAAGAGTAGCACCCCGCTCCCATCACCACTGATGCTGAGGATCCCTTTGGAACAGAACCACCTTCTTAGTAAAGGACTTGTACTCTCTCTAGAAGGGCCAAGGCCCAGAGTCACCATCTCAGAGCCTCCCCCTCCCAGTAGCAGCCTTGGGGCACCCCAAAGTCAAAGACCTGCTGGTTAGAACAACAAATTTAGTCCAGCCGCATAATACCTTAAGATCTATCTCAGGGTCTGTGATCCCTGCAGCGTGTTTGAGGTGTGTGACATCTTACCACTGAGTTGGCTCTATAGGCAGCTTTAGTGTACACCAGGACAAGTCAGGAGAGGCTGAGGGTCAGAACACATCTCACCTCATGTCCAACACTCAACTCAGGCAGCCATCTGGCAGCAGGGCACCCACAGTTGGCATGTAGGCTCCCTTCTCCACCAGCTAAGAACACCAGCCATTAAAGACATGGCTCCCGTCTTTGGTGTGCGACCTTTCAATACCAACATATCTGCAACGCTGGGGGCCTGGTATCTTTGTCCACTTCCCCTGAATAAACCAAACCCAGTGACCTTCCACACTAAAAGGAATCCCTTGGCATGGCCATCTGGCAGCCTGTCAACACCCCCACACCCACACCCACACTCCCATCATTTCCCACGAAGGAAATGGGGGAAGAGCATAGCCTTCAGGTCTGGTTTGAAAAATTGCACCTTACAATTGACTTGTCTGATCTCATTTCCCCAACCCACCCTTCTGTGGTTAAACCTTCAAAGAACATCATATGGAATCAAGGCATCCAAATATCACCATCAAAAACTAAAAACTAATGATGGTAATAGTAATAAATAAATAGAAAGGCAACTCCTAATGTGTAATTAAAAACACACTGCTCTATACAGGAAAATGTTTTAGAATCTGCTGCTCTGTGTAAAAATTAATTGCACACTGGCATTTACTTGCCATCCAGATTGTAAATCATATTTTCCTGTTTACTTCGATTAGACTTTACAGTGGGTGTTATTGAGATTGCTCAATTACAGGCCAGCTGGCAAGCACAGGAAAATTACCTTCTACTGTTCTTCGAAAACAAGGTTCATCCAAAGTGCAAAAGCAGGGAAGGGGTGGGAATCAATACACTTTCAAAGCTTGACTGTTCAGGAAGGAAGGACCAGGGTCTGCAGGCTCCCGGCTGCACTAGGAGACCTGACGCATGGGTTTAGTACCACACCAACCTACAAGCAGTGCATCCTAACCAGGTGTCATCTGTTCAAGGAGAGAATTCCAGACCACTCCCTTGAGCTCTGGCCAAACAGCTGAGCCAGAGATGCCCACTAGTCCCCAGGATGCTTGGTTTAGGAGAGGGCCAAGAGAGGTACACTAGGCTCACCCTTCTAAGAGGACCTTTGTGCCACCTTAGTGGCACAATGATAGTTGCCATTATCTTTCTGGGTGTAAGCCTCAATTCAGTTCTAGGGCAGCCAACTACAAGCACAAAGTCTGGGAGATGACCGGTCCTCCACCTCCTACCACCCATTTCTTTTTTCTTTTTTTTGGTGGTGGGGGGGGCGGGTACCGGGGAATGAACTCAGGGGCATCTGACCACTGAGCCACATCTCCAGCACTATTTTGTATTTTATTTAGAGACACAGGGTCTTACTGAGTTGCTAAGCACCTGGCTTTGCTGAGGCTGGCTTTGAACTCGCGATCCTCCTGCCTCGGCCTCCCAAGCCAGTGGGATTACATGCATGCACCACAGTGCCCGGCACCCATTTCTGGACTTTAGTAGTTATAAGTTCAAGTCCTGAATCAAAGCACACCTGATTCAATTCCCAGCTCCTGCAATGTACTGAGCAATCTTTTGTCAACTGACTTGCTCTGTGCCTCAGTTTCCCTCTCTGTGAAATGGAGAAAACTGTGCCTGCTTCATAAGGTTACTGAATCCTATGGAAGTGGAGCTCAAGCACTGTGCTCAGTGGCCAGAGACAGCAGCTACTGCTGCAGTTTAATGAAGCAGCCTGTGAGTTCAGAGCCATTTTCAGCAAAGACACTCAGGCAGTCATCCTCTCAAATTTGTTTGAATTCCATCAAGAGGGGCCTGGCTATATTATGGCTCATCCCTCTGGTAAAACAGTGGGAAGCCGGTAAGAATGATGCTGGTGAGTGTTGCCATGGAAACTCATCAGTCCATCCCGACACAGCTCCACACAAAGCAGGAAGCTGGAATGAGGCAGCAATGGGGCCTCCAATCCCTCACTAGCTCCATCCCCACCAGAGCCCCTATAAGGGACCAGGGTGGCAGAGGCAGCACTAGGGGTGATATGTACCTCAGCACCATAAGCTCCTGGGTACCTGGGGGTCAGCAACAACTGCAGGCCCTGTAGGAAGGATGTATGACCACATCCCTTCCTTGGGGGTTCTGGGACGGAGTACTATGAAGCAAGCACTACATACAGGCAAGGCGGTGAGAGGGGCGCTGCAGTGGGGCTGGAAGAGACCCCCCTGCACAGGAGCCTAGGACACACATCACTGCCACAAGAGACCAAGAATGCAGACAACCTAGATGCCCAGCCAGAAGGGGCTGTTTAAATAAATAACAGTGTAGTTAAGTAAAGGAATAGCATGTGGCCTTCCAAAAAGTTTCAATGACACAGTCAGGACCCAATGTGGGAGTGGTGTGCGTGGAGGGCAGAGGGTCAAAGAGCTGAAGAGACAGATCCAAGCAGACCACAAGCTCTGAAAATGGCTCTGAATGCAGACCTTACCCTGCAGCCATGGGGGTTCCTGAAGGCTCATTCTGCTGGAAGACAGTGAGGTTTTCTGCCCCCTTCACAACACCTAACACAGTGCCTTACACAGGATAAAAGCCCAAAACACATTTCTGGAATTGGGCTATGACACAGTGACATTTGAAATAGTCTGGGCATGTGCTCAGACTTGGTGAGGCTAATCCAGACCAGCAGAGCCTGGTGCAATCTGGAATTCCCTGAGAGTCCTTGGATCTGTGGCATGGGCCTGGCCAGCTTCAATGGGGAATACCAGCACCTGTCCTGTCGAGAGACTTAGACCAGGGTAGGAACAGGGACAGGGTCTTCCCAGGGAGAAGACAGAGTTTGGCCTTGGAAGACAATGATGACTAGGTGGTGCTGGGAAGGAGGGAGGAGAAGCCTGACACAGCCCTCCACAGGCGGCCTCCCAGAACCCCCTGCTTTGCCGGATGGCTTTCTCTGAACCTGTATTGAGTACAGCTTCTCTCCACTGAGCACAGGCATAGTCTGGAGGTGGTGTGTTCCCAGGAGTTCATGTGTTCAAAACTTGGTTCCCCACGTAACAAGGTTAAGAGACGGGGTATCTTTCATAGGTGGGGCTTAGTGGGAGGTTGTTAATTCTTTTAACATGTGCTGCCCCTCTGGAAGAGATTAATACAGGTCTTGAGTTTATATTTTCAAGGGAGCTGGTATGAAAGAATAAGCCTGGCCAATTCCCAGCCACCCTGGCTTTTTGTCTCGCCCTATGATATCTCCCTCTTGCACACACTGTGATGCCGTTTACCATGAGGTCCTCACCAGAACTGGCACCATGACTTTGAACCTAAGAACTGTGAGCTAAATAAACCTCTGATCTTTATAAGGTTACCCAGCCCCTAGCATTTCATTATAATAGCAGAAAAGGGACTGATACAAGCACCCACTATTTAAACACTTTAGCTTTAAGGCAGTTCCAATTATCCCCATTTTATAGTCATTCAAAGTATCTTACCAGAATCTGGTTCAAAGCTAGGATTTGAGTCCTAATGAACTAACTCCCAGGTCCGAAGCTCCCTCTATATCCCAAATGCGCACTTTAGGAGCCTGGGGGGTGTAGCTCAGTAGTAAAGTGCTTTCCTAGCCTGTACAAGGCCCTGGATCCAATTTCCTATCCCACAAACAAATAAACAAAAATCCTATACCCTTCAGAAGCACACTCACACAATTACCAAAACTAGTGTAATCACTGCACTCCTTAGCATTTTATCCCAGAGAAATGAAGACTAATGTTCACACACAGATGCTTTACTCCATAACAGCCACCAGGGAATCACCAGGTGTCTTTCCCCAGGCAAATGGTTAAACAAACTGAGGCCATCCATACCATGAAATATAACTCAGCAATGAAAGGAACTTTTCTTTTAATATTTAGTTATCAATGGACCTTTGTTTTATTTATTTATTTGCGGTGCTGAGAATCAAACCCAGTGCCTCACACACGCTAGGCAAGTGCTCCATCACTGAACCCCAGCCCAAAAGGAACTATTAATACACACAAGAATTTGGACAAACCTCCAAAGAATATGCTGAGTAAAAAAAGCCAACCCCCAAACGTTAATTATTGTACAATTAATTTATATCACATTCTCGAAATCAGAAAATCACAGAACTGGAGAACAGATAAGTGGTTGTCAGGAGTTAGGAATGGGGATGTGGCTACAAGACCACAAGAAGGGTCCTTGTAGAGATGAAATGGTCCATATTTTGACAGTGTGGGGCTCAATCTCGTGATCACACTTGTTTTGCAAAATGTTACTACTGGTGTGAAACGCGTAAAGGGTACTACATATTTCTCTGCTTTATTTCCTACAACTGCACAAATGTAAAACGAACTCAAAATAAAATATTTAAATAAACTTGTCAAAACTCATAGAACTAAATAGCACAAGAGTAAACTGTACTATATGTAAATTTAAAAAAAAGAAAAAAGCCCCCTGCCTGCACCAGGGTGACGACATGCCGAGGAGGGGAGGCCAGGTAGGCTGTAGAAGCTGGCAGCCCTGCCTGGCCTTCACCTTGACCTCGTGGCTTGACTTCAGCTTTCTCATCTTTAAAATGGCAACAATAACACCTTTGCCTGGGAACTGCTGGGAGATTCAAATAACAAAATGCAC